CTGCCCTTTAATGAAAATTAATATGCCGTAGTTTAATAATTCATGTTCTTGCACTGAAAGCCCTTTAATTTAATGAAGTGCTGTTCATTTCATCATATTCATTGCTGAGGTAGGTTGGTATTTTTCCATGAAGGTCAGAAGTGTGCCATTCCTTCCTGCAAGCCATGAATTTGATCAGATGTTAAACTCTGACTTCTCCAGTGGTCCATTCAGGTCTGACTCAGCAGGGTATTACACATTTTCAAGAACACTGGAATAGAGGGAAACCTCCAGGTGTCTGTTCTTTCAGGATCAGAAGCAACTGTATTATGCAACTGTGATCATATATTTATCAAACTTTGTATTCCCTCCTCAGTACTTCTGTTGGAAATGAATTCCTCTTGTCTGGGGACTGGAAATTTTTCTCTAATCTTAAGCCAAAATTTATATCCATTAGTTATTACTCCAGTGTATTCCTTTCACTTAAATCATTAGACTCACTCTGGAATTACAGAAAACACTGTACTAGGCTGAATAAATTGAGCTCATATCTATTTCTGCCCAATTTTACAGTACTAATACCGTAACTTGATTTTTCTCTAATTACAATCTTTCTTTCTTGCTGGGTTAGAAATAGATTTATTTATTCAGACTGTCTTGTTACATCTGATGTAGTAACAATTTGAAAACAAACAAATTAATATTAAAAAAATAATTTAAAAAATCCTGTGGATTTTTATTCTAGACCTTAGATGCACTTCTAGTCCTATAGTAAGAAACACTCTCTCACTTCTGCATCGTTTTTAGTAACTTGCATGAAGACTCTGGCCAAGACTTGAGATTCAGAAGTTTATCAACTGAGAAGCTGGTTAAGCAGACACACAGATCTCTCTTTTAGTGTTGGAAAGGCTTTTAGGTATAGCTCCTCTGGTCTGCACATCATTCTGTTCTCTGTTAGTACACACCATTATCTTCCAGACTTGAACAGCCATCCTAGCTATAAGTTAAGTCGTTTTCCTCCTCCACTTCTTGTTTTCCCCATTCTCTCATTTTCTGCTTAATTTTCCACTAGGACAAATGCACTTGTTAATTCAGCTTATTTTTCACTGTTTGCTCTGTTGTCATTTACATGTCCTCCTATTATGTACAATCCTTCTCTCTAGGTTTTCTTCACACATTGGTGAATCATGATCATCTCTTAATACTTCTATCACCTACTTTTCAAATATTTTCCTGAAGTTTGGTATTATTTCCAGCTGCATCTTCAGTACTTAACAGTTCTTTTCTGTGAAGCATATAATTCATCATATATAAATAGCCTCAATCAGATAGCCACTCAAGAATAATAAGCTTCCAGCAGTTTTTCCATCTAGTTATCTTCAGTTATCCTCTCCTTAGGTTTTTTTCCTATTGCTACATTAACAGAAGCTGTGTTTTCTCTTTGCCTCAAATCCTTAAATACCTGAAGGAGGAAAAAACCCACCTCCCCACAGTTCTTCAAGATTTCCATCTTGTTTGCTATCCTCCACCACTTTTACTCGAGCTTTTGTTGAGTCAGTTCTGCCACCTAATTGCCATTTGGCAGCTAGCTGTCCAAGAGTCCAGAGCAGGAGCAGAGAATATACACAGTCTGTGATGAAAAACGTCTGAACAAACAACCCTTCCTCCCAAAAGGACAAAAGAGCCAAGCAACAAAGAAAAAAGTCTCTTTTGGCTTTCACTGCATAAAAAGTCCTGCCAATTTTTACTAGGCCACCCATGGTTTCCAGATCTTCTGTGTCAACATTAAAATATTCTTTCTTATAAAGGACAACTCTTTTAAATTAAATAATAAAATCTTGGGTTCATCATATGTCCATCAATAAAATCCAAGCAAATCCTATTAGCGGTTGATACGCTGGAGGGAAGAAATGCCATCCAGAGGGACCTTGACATGCTTGTGAGGTGGGCTGATGCCAACCTCATGAAGTTTAACCATGACAGGTGCAAGGTCCTACACCTGGGTCAGAGCAATCCCAGGCACAGCTACAGGTTGGGCAGAGAAGAGATTCAGAGCAGCCCTACGGAGAAGGACTTGGGGGTGCTGGTCGATGACAAAATGAACATGAGCCGGCTTCAGTGTGCGCTTGCAGCCCAGAAAGCCAACCGTATCCTGGGCTGCATCAAAAGGAGCGTGACCAGCAGGTCAAAGGAGGTGATCCTGGCCCTTTATTCTGCTCTCCTGAGACCTCACTTGGAGTATTGTGTGCAGTTCTGGTGTCCTCAACATAAAAAGGATATGGAACTGTTGGAACAAGGCCACAGGAGGGCCACGAGGATGGTCAGGGGACTGGAGCACCTCCTGTATGAAGATAGGATGAGAAATTTGGGGCTGTTCAGCCTGGAGAAGAGAAGGCTGCGTGGAGACCTCATAGCAGCTTTCCAGTATCTGAAGGGGGCATATAGGGATGCTGGGGAGGGACTCTTCATTAGGGACTGTAGTGTTAGGACAAGGGGTAATGGGTTAAAACTTAAACAGGGGAAGTTTAGATTGGATATAAGGAGGAAATTCTTTCCTGTTAGGGTGGTGAGGCACTGGAATAGGTTGTCCAGGGAGGTTGTGAATGCTCCATCCCTGGCAGTGTTCAAGGCCAGGTTGGATGAGGCCTTGGGTGATACGGTTTAGAGCGAGGTGTCCCTGCCCATGGCAGGGGGGTTGGAACTTGATGATCTTAAGGTCCTTTCCAACCCTAACTATTCTATGATTCTATGATTCTATATTAAAACCTTCTCACTTTGCAGATTTCCTTCTCTCCTAACGACTGGAAGAAGAGCTGGAAATTTGCTGGCACTCTCTGCAGTTACCTTCTTGCACTTTTAGCTCTGCATTAGTGTAAGGATTAAACTTCAAAAACCATCATGCAGTTTATCACAGCAGTTAAACTGTTTCTGCAGATTGTCATTAAATAGATACATAGAACCAAGTTAGCCTTAGAAGACATTTCTGTAGCATAGTGGCAAACAACCTGCCATCATAATTACAAGATAAATCTGCAGCCCACGGCAACTTGATGTGGACAAGTAAACCGGAAAAGTAACATGGAGAGACTAAAAATTGAATATCCGACCCCTGTGCTATATCAGCAAGAGGTAAGCAAAACACAGCAACAATAGCCAACAGTTGTAGCCTGGGCCATCTGGTCAAAGGCTCATATTACCAACATTTTATTAAAATATTTTAATCTTGCTGTTTTCCCTCAGGAATGAAGGAAAAAATGCAAAAGTTTAAGTTCTGTTAAAAGATGGGGTTTCTCTACCTACAAGCACAGCATGTGTATGATAGTTACTTAATTAAGAGATTCCCTAATGAAGGGTGTGGAAGTGGCAGAACAATAACCTAATTCCTAACTGGGTATGTCAGAAAGCCAGTGACAGCACAAAGAGCAACACCTACACATGTATTTCCTTGTTATTCTAAATACTAATTTGAATTTTTGTAGTCAATTAAAGCAAAACAATTTTTTCATTAGTCCCACACAATAACTCCTTCCTGGTTTATATTACCAAACCTTCATGAATAAAGTCCTCCACAATCCCCATATATTTTTGTTTATGTTATTGTTTTCTAATTCTGAAATGAAACTGCATTAATTGTTCTCTCCTGCTCCCTTATTTTTGCATATGCCCTGCTCCCACATAAGTGTTAACCAGCAGTTCAACTGTGGTGCCTGCTGAAATCACTTCCAAACAACCTTGTGCATTTCCAGGCAATGTAGCATGGGATGGAAAACTAAAGGCAGTTGGGATAGATGAATAAACTACACTGGTAATTTACTGAAGAAAGGCAAAATAGCACACTCACGGTGCAACTGGAAACTTAACTTTTATGTGGACATCCAAACCAGACCGCATGTTTAGTTTTTGATTGTTAATTCTCAAACACTGAAATGTGAACTGAAAAGTTCAGAAATAGTTTTAAAAAGTTTAAGACACATTAAAAAAAATACTTCAGAAAGATAGAAAAACTTACAGAAATATGTCAGATTGATATAAATTTTTGATGGGTAAAAGGAAGAAAATGAAATCTTCATATATTATTCTTTCTTTTTACTGATAGGAAAACAAACTTCCTTATTATTAAAATAACTGCTTAGGTGCCGGCTGGCTAAGTTACACGTTGTCTGTAGAGTAAAATTCTGCCCTCAAGCTGTGCGTTTAGCTCCAATGATCATATAGGTGGGAATCAGGAAAAGACTCCACAGCTGCATAGGCTGTCATGTCATTAATACACCTATTCAAGTCAGAGCAATGCGTAAGGGTCTCTGCTTCAAAACTGCCAAAATGAAAAATATATTAATGTACTTATAAGTTCTGATGCCTAAATGGCCATTCACACAACTACTGGTATTTTAGTTTTAGATATCTGGTATATACAAGCTGTTTATCTGAAGTTCTGGGAAAATGGCAGATAGAACTGTCATTTGGTCACCTGCAAACACAAGAAAAAAGCTTTCCTATTCTATGTCAGACCTTTGCAAATAACAAAAACTAAAACTAAAAAAAATCTTCAAAGACTTATTTTGCCTTTGGACACTAGAAATTAACTAAGGAATCAAATAAAGATGTTTTTACACATAATACCTTATGAATTCCTTCTAGGTCTTGTTTCTAGAATAGAAACAAGATAATCCACACTATTTAGTAGGACATTCTTCATAACATTCCTGGTCTAGACTTCAGCCCAGTCTAACACACAGATACACAGGTAGGTAGCAACCCCTACTGAAGAAAGCAGCTGAATGAAAACATGTATCTCTGATTAATGCTTTTTACCACAATGTATGCTTTTAATGTTTGCATGAACACAAAACCATTTTCATCTGTCTACACGACAGAGAAAGAAAAACAGTCCTCTCTGTTCTTTTCATGTTTCTTATTGTTTTATGGGATATTACTGCCAACATGATAGGCATTGCAAATTTTTAAGACAAATAGATCAATTCATTGATATAAAAATTCAATCCAGTTCTTTGTTGACTTACCTTGCCAATATATCTGGGGAACGGTCCTCTTTGGTTTTCAGGAACTAATACCGGAGATGACAAAATAGCCCGTTTTTGTCTTAGAAATCCAAGGTTGTTTTCTATCTTAAGAATTTCCTAAAAAAGAAAATAAGCAATTACAAAAACCTTCCAAAATAATATTCAGTTGTTATTTCAATTCCCTGCGGTTTTAATCAGAATTAACATGAACTACCAGATTCTAAAGTTTGTATTATGTTTTGCAGCAACTAGTGATAACATATCAAGCTATTTATTTAAATTGGTTAGGTTACTGCACTTATTACAGTAACAGTCAACAGACCATGCTCATTTTATGTTCCTGTAGACTACTTTTAAACCTAAGCAAATGTGGCTACCGCCCCAACCTGACAACTGTTTAAATCATAAATCTTAAGCAAGGTGTGGTTTTCCTCAAATACTTGTTTGACACCTGTAAAAAAACACACTTCAAATGTCTTTCACATCTCAAGTTACATCTATATTTGGTTGCTTCTCAGACCAGGCTTTTAATCCCACAGACTTGAGAGGTGAATTTGCTGAAGTTGTCCCCAGTTAATGAACTCCCAATAAACACCAAAAAACTTGTAATATAAAAATAAAACTAGACACCAAAACCATGGTGTCGGTATGGTTGTTTGCTTGTTGTTTTTTGGTGTCTTTTTTCCTTAAAAGAAACTTCATGCGATCATACCATATTTGTTTATACACAAGCCTACCTTTTTCTGCTGTATGTTCTGGATTATTTAGTTCTAACTGAGCTTCAGTCAATTCAGCACTTTATGAGCTACAGCAAGCTCTTCACATTGGCCTCTGGCCCCTTGAAAACTGCCCATCACACCTCTGCCTTCCCTCCCCTTCTGCTCTCTGATCTTCTCAGTGCTCTCTCTGCATGAGCTGCATTTTCCCAGATACTATCCTCTTTGTTTTGCTTCTTCCTACCATCTCTGCAACAATTTTCTCCAAGCACAGTTACTACCAAGGTCAGAAATAGCCTCTCCCTTACTCCCAGAGCAATCCCCTTGATCCAGGCACCTTTTTGGAAAATAAAACCAACCAAACAAAAAATTCCGCACACAACAAACACCAGGAACAAATCTGTACTGGGCTGGGAATTATGAAAGTGAAAGATTTAAATCAGTACTATTCATTCAGGTTGTTGTGACAGCTTTACAAAAGAAATCATAGGTTAAATTAAATTCCAATAAGGTAGTTACATGCTACAGACAACACTTTTCTCTGCTGTCTTAATGCAGAAACCCCGAAAACCTAAGCTTCTCAATCAGTTCTGGAATCCACATTGCTGTTTTAACAGCTGCTACTTTATTACAAAAGGAGAGCTGCATCCCTTGGTTGTATCTTTATGAAACTGTAAAGTTGACTGAGCTTTCTTACTGGCACAATCTGGATATCCATCAGTCAAGAAATCCACAGGCTGCCCCTGCTGCCATCAATATGGGTGCCTTTCACCTAATGAGCCTATCATCACCAAAACACTGCTCTACTAGCTTTAGCATCACTCTTCAAAGTCGACAACAAACAGCAGCAAGGGAAACTCAGGTTTTCATCAGTTACCTTTAGTCATGATAAAGTCAAGCAGCAGTGGAAGCCATGCAGAGAATCCTTTCTCACAATTTTGCCAATTTTCGTAACTTCTTGAGGCTCACCCTGATAACACAGTTCCCATCTCTCCCAAAGGCTTTGCCACTTCTCTCTAATTTTTCAGCCTGCAGGCCACTTGGGTCCCTACTTTTGTCTTTCAGTTCCTCTCCCAAAAGAATTTTACTTAATAAAAATTCATGAAAAAGTTCAAGATAAAAACATTTGAAGTGTCAAATAAAAAGGAAAGAGCTGAATTCTTTTCAAAGGCAAATGCACAGAGCAGTAAGCTTTCAAAATCACTTACACTGTAAACACAGCAGACAGTGTGGCTGGTGTGTGTCTATGACATTTCTAAGGAGAGTAAAAGTGACTCCCAATGTGTCTAAAAGGAACTATCAGTTCTTTAGCTTAGCAGCAGCTGTACTCAACTCATGACAATTTTCACTTGCGCTAACTCCCACTTCCTTGGTTGCCCTTCAGCTTGTGAAAATGGAAAGAGCTCCCAGATACAGGGCTCCTTGGAAATGGGCAAGACATTCAGATTTGCATCTCCCTGTGGTTCGGATTGGAATGGATGTTTAGAGGTCATCTAGTCCAATGCCCCTGAAATGAGTAGGGACATTTTCTACCAAATCAGATTCCTCAGACCCCCATCCAACCTGACCTTCAATGTTCCATTTTTCTTTCCTTACTAGTTTGAGAAGTAAAAGGAATTTTCAGATTTTCAATATCTAGTTCTCACAATTTTGGTAGTCATAGACCCATAAGCAATTAATTCATCATTTTGTTATGTCATGTTATCCTCACACTTGCTCTGAAGGTCCACAAATGGAAGTAAAAACCAAACTATATTCCATGGTCAACTCTGCAGTCATTAATACAAAGAAGTAATGTTCTAAAAAAAGCAGGGTGGTAAGACCTATGGCCTTCAAATCCTTATTTCTGAGAAGGGCTTTGGAACAAATAAGAGTTAAAATAGTATTATATGTTTGGTTTTGTTTCTAAAACACAGTAAGTTTGTTTCGTGGAGCAGAAAGTTTCTGCAGACTGGCAACAGAACTGTAAGCACTTCTCTGAGTATGTTTCACACTGTTTATTCTTCAAATCTTACTGCTGGTTTTTAAATAATGATATCTTCATTATGATTTCTCACTTTCTCCTCATCCCTGGTGTCTAACAACAACATGACTGGTTAAATGAGCAGCCAAAAGCATTATTGTGGAACACAGGTAAAGAGAAAGAAAGTCAAGGTCAAGAGTACTTCACCAACACATTTAATAATTCACTGCTATTGTGGTTACCGTAATGATTTCACCATTTCTAAAGAACAGGGAGAAAGAAAGAACATTTTGCTTAGTTGCAAGCACCTGCAACTGACAGTTTAATCCTCAACCAGTATATGACAGAAGCCAAGGAATCTGCATTTCTGTGCACTTAGCACCCCATTAAACAGTTAAAACGTTGAAAAGATTCTCATTTATGGTAGATATATTGCTTATATAATAATTCTTACTGAATTCACATATTTAATTTCTTGAAGAAGCAACTCACAAAGGATATTAAATTACTCCAGACAGAGTGGGTAGTTTTGCTTCAAATTTTCCTAGAATACCAGGCTAGCCTTATAACAGGAGTTTTCTTTTGCCCCTTGATGAAAGTCAAACCCACAAAGGAGTTTTCAGTCATCTTTACGGGAATCTGCTGATCAAATGCTATAGAACCTACCATGTCTTTGTAGCAGCCACAAGTCCAGACAAGTATTTATGTTCCAGGAGTCTGGAGATCTTATAATGGCATGTCCCAAATGGATGGTATTGACCCAGCAGTCTGTGGCTGTGATTACTATCTGCTTTTCTCATGCCTGCTGCTTTGTATAGGAAAGAGGAACCTCATGTCCATAATCAACAACCACATGCAAAATTAAAAATGTAAAATATATCTATTATAATGAATATATGCCTTCTTAAGAAAAGTGCACCAAAAATAAAAATTCTAGATTTCTGAGACAAAAGGATTGCAGAGAAATCCTATCATTTCTTTGTCTTTGTTATTTAGCTGCAATGTCACATTTGTGATCATCATCTTTCAGCTGATACTTTCGTGGTCAGTGGGTTAGGTGATCAAGATCCAACTATCATTTCACTGTCCACCATTTTGTAAACAGCTTTTACATCCTATCTTTGACTTCGTTAAGTTCTCTTTCTAGGTGAGGAATCAGTTCAGCACTCAATACACTGATTCACTGTCAATAAAGCTTGATTCCCTATTCACATTAAGCAAGCAACAAACACAGCCTCTTCATTTTTCCCAGCATTTAAGTTAGGCTGCTATTGAAAGATGCCAATTTGCCCAAACTATGCTGCTATGCGAGCTGTGATTTCCCCAGATCCCTTGGGAACTCTCCACCCTGTTTTCTTTTTTCTTTATTTTTTACCAGGGGTTCTTGAAAGCATTGCAGTACTTGATTATTTGAATGAATGGCCTAGCCACTACCCAGCAGCAGACACCATTACTCTTAGCAAAGAAAATTTCATTAGAACTTGTCATGGGAATAAGGTGGCTGAATACTGGTATTGATTTCTCACAATAACGGCTTGAAACCTTGCTGGAGTGGCAATCTATAATCCACTATGGTGGCTAGAGAACTGGTTGAGTTTCATGCCATTTAGTTGTTTTTATATACTAAGCTTGATGGCATAAACTGGAGTAAAATCCAAAACCAAAAAATAAACAAAATTAATTGGATGCTTGTTGCAAGCAAAATTCCTCTGAAATAGCAAATGAGATGTGATATTCAGCAGTATATCGGTCTTCCTACAACATAACATCACTACACAAAACTGGAAAACTAAAACTGCATTCAGATCAATTTAAGAAAAAATAATTTTTATATCATTCTCAGCTGAAATTTCACAATTGTGCTGCAATATTTAGTTGCTTTATCTACGTTGTTTCTATCATCAGTATATTGTTATCATGAGAAGTATTAATAGTGAGATTTTTCTAAAATATATCTAAATACTTTCTCACATTGTTTATAATATGAAAATTTAAGAAATGTGCTGGAACTTTACTTGTAAGTTAGAAAAAACTGTTTAAACAAATTAACTCAGTGAATTAAGAATTATAAAAGTCAATGGCATACACAAACACCTGCTCAAAAGTGGGCTGTCCTCAATGCTGTAAAAGTCACCCTAAAGTATACTTTAGAAAAACAAATCCAGCTAAAATCTAGCATGCTAAGGGGAATCAGGTATTTCAGAGAACATAAGCTTCCAGGCTTGTGAAGCATAGTCAGATATAACATCTGGGTAATGGAAATTGTTGGTGGAACTTGTTTTAATTAGGCTGGATGTTTCTACTATTATAATTGTTACACAAATAAAGAAACAGATATGCACACTGCTTAACCAATACAACCATTAACTTCATAGACACTCGGTAATCTCAGACTACAGCTCTGCTTCTGTGCAATCCATCTAGCTGTGCTATAGGTG